GTTTTCTTTTTAAGTATTTATTTTACTTACCTACTATATCTTAATATGCGCCCGCTGTGTGCAGACCTGTATATATTACAGATAAATTAAATTGGAGTGACTGTTTGTAATATTAAAATAACCACTTTTTACTACATACATAATTATGATATACATACTAAAAATATATTTTTTTACAATTTTTGTTTTTATGTCTGTTTGTACTGGCTAATCTCTGGAATGGCAGGATCGATTTTGCGAGACATTTATTGGCAGGTAGCTGATGTACTAAGGAGTGACATAGGCTATTTTGGAAAATAAATATTATGTTCTAAAATTCATATTCTACGCGTACGAAGTCGCGAGGAACAGCTAGTTAAATTATGTAACACTTTTAAATCACAGACATTTCTGGAAACAGCACACAATATTAAGTCATATGACCATCTTTAAGAATATCAATCATGTTTAGTAATGTATATCAATACAGATAGTAAAATTATTTATCTTTTATTTTTTTTATCAATTAAGTATCATAAGCTATGATGAGCAATGTAAGACCTGCGATATTTTTTATTTCCATCTTTTTTTTCATGAAACCTTTAGTTTCTTAGTGCATTTGGAATTTCGTCCTCACAATTTTGAACAGAAATCGGTCATTCTTTCAAATTAGCATAACTTTCCTAATTTCTACGAAACCGAATGAACTAGTATTAAAAACAAAAAAGGAACGGTATAATATTTTTTGTTAACACAACTTCATCATAAAAAAAAACTTTACAAAAAAATGTTTTGATACGGTGCAGACCTTTTTTGTACGAGAGGTCAATAGACGCACCGGCCACAGATTAAATACTTCCATTGATTGAACGATTACTCTTTGATGATTACGGACGGTAAATTGTATGTAGTATTAATAATTCTTTGAACGTTAAAGACAGGACTCGGGATGTGTGTGTAAAATATTAATAGTGTATGTAAATTGGGTAACAGTGGCATGATGTTAGTGAACTATGAACGATTCAATTCTGTGTGAAGTAGGCAACGTTGATTGAGACTGTTTGGTGCTGGCTGGTTATTTAAAAAAAAACTATGATTGACGTTTGAAGTTTGTATTCTAATTTCAAAACGTCTTACGGTCTATGAAGAATTGTTTTGTTCTTCTCATTCAATTTTGATTCTTGTTCGATTCTTAATCGTTTTCTTGCAGTCTCCATTTTTTTCACATCAAACTTTCCAACATTCGGTCTTAATTGATTTTAAACTTTATTATTGTAGTAAAATATCTGTGTTGGTGTCTGTACCACAATACCATATTAATTATTTCGAACAATACAGGATAATATTAAGTATCCATTACGTAATTGTTTGTTTCCTGATTTAGTATATTATGAAAATGGAGAATTTTATTTGAATGGCTTCATTTAACGAACAATAAAATTGAATGATAAAATCTGTTTGAATCCTTATTTCGCCGAGGGTTAGAATTAGGAAGTGAATTGAAACTGATTCCCTTGCTCCCCTCAGAAGTTGTATTTTTATAGCTTTTTTTACAAATTGAGATGATTATAAAACAACCTTTTTGTAGGGTACGATGTTTTTCATTTTATCTTACATGTTGGCATACATGTTGGTACGTTTAATAACATATTAAAGTGTAAAGCAAAATAAGAAAAAAAACATTGTCAACTTTATTCTAAAAATATAGGGTTGATTCTGTAACCTCACATTGAAGTAAGCTAAAGTGTTGATTTCCATATGACCACGACTGTACGTCACACTCACAGACTACCTATTAATTCGTATTTTGAAGAACATTGTGATATTATAATGGATGGAGTCAAGTTCAAATTATCAATTAGGTCAGGGCTGTCCAAACAAAGGCCCGCGGGCCGCATGCGGCCCGCAGCTTGATTTCATGTGGCCCGCGAGCCCGCGCCCGCGACACACACTTTAATCTCAACATCTTCATCTTATGTGCAACAACAATAATAAAATTCAGTGTGACTAAACTTGCACACAAATTATTTGTGTGCAAGTTTAGTCTGTAAGTAAAGAATACAATGTTAAACGTCATTATACAACTGAAAATATTTTTCTGGCCCTCCAGCTTTTCTAAGAAATTTAATTAGCCCGCGAGGGTGTATAGTTTGGACACCCCTGAATTAGGTAATTAAATGCGAAATAATCAACAATTCCTTATAAGAATATGCCTAAGTAAGTATGTATTCTATGATAGTACACAAGATATAAATTACACAATAATCACGTAGGAATCCCATCCGACTTATTTATTGACTTTGATAACAATCTGAATGTCTACAACACAATCTATTTGTAATGAAACCTTATTTACTATTTATTTTCAAGTGATATTACCAACCTATATGAATAAATATCTACCTACGTCATAATACTAGGTAAAGAAACAAAACTGTGTAAGTGTAATCGCAATTCGCAGTTTTCAAGTCGAAGGTAACTTTTAATTAAATACTTCATTGTCGATTGTATCTGTCACAAAAAATGAGATAGGTAGGTAGTCGCATATCTACCTACATTCTTCAAAACAATAACAATCTACATAGTAGGTAAATAAACAAACAAACGGCTACTACAAATTGAACCACCGTCAAGAGAACTTCATAAAGAAAATTAAACGCGAATTCCTTTTTGTTACATCAAAAATGTTAATAACTAGTCTCAACCGGTTCCTAACACTTAAGCAACATCGTGCACCTACCTAATAAATACTAAATTAGGCATCCAGCTCGCATTACAGAACATAAGCTAGTCTTAATTAATCCATATTGAGCATGACTGGACTATCGATTAGAAATCTAATCCAACTCTCTAAGGATTTCCATATCGCTAATCAAGAATTAGCGAACATTCTAGATTATTGCAAATCGATTCAAATTATCGATTAAAACATTCGTTTGTCTTGGGAATTACGCCACTGAGGCGAAGACGTTGTTATGTTGATTTAATTACTACCTACCGTACGAATATAGGTACATTGTGCGCGCATCGTTTACAACGTGATTCAACCTTAGTTTATCAACAGAATAAACGAAAGTTTGTGCACATACCTGCCCGGCTATCTCTCACCAATTTCTAGACTGCTACCAGGGTTGTCTCTCTTAGAAAGTATACATAACTTTCAGCTCTTCAATCATGCCCAATATGTTTCATGCGTATGCTTCGGTCATACATATAGCTACCTACTCAGTTTGATAAACAAGGTTTTAGCAACAGAGTTTGTTATCAGCAACGCTGAAGCAAACTTTCATTCCAGTCTCGCACTTTTATGACGGTATAAACGATTCATGTGAATGCAACGAGGTATGCAAGTAACAAACTTTTTCTTCACTCGCGTATTGTACCGCATTGTTTCAACGTCCGTGGAACGCTCGACTTTACCATTCGAACTTGTGTTGCAATCACTTCAACGAAACAATAACATGTTCTTTCACCGTTGTTTGGCAGATCGCTAATTAAATCACATCATCACCTCGGAGCGATAACTGATATCAAGCAAGGTCAACTCACCGGGTCAATGTCCGCCTCCCAGACGTCCTTCAAGTCGTTCGAGATGTCGAAGTAAGCCTCCATGTCGGGGCCGGTGTTCACGACGGCCTCCGACTATGAACACAGTAAACTTCCCCAAGAAAACTCGCACAAAACACAGCAAACTGTCACTCCCTTACTGTCCTCCTCCGAGCGGGCGGAACTCGGAAACAATGTAAACTGCACTAAAACAAACTGTCAAACGACGCAAATTTCACAGAACACTGTGCATCATCACAAGTTTACGTTTCACTATCGACGCCCATTTGTTTTTGCAACAAAATATTTTTTTATGAAGTTTCACTGCACGCGAGGAATGTTGTGGAAACGCTGAGCGCGGACGATGCACACACTCGCGGCGAGGTACGGCCGGCGAATGCGAGAGCGGCGTCTACCGCGCCCCCCCTCCCCCCACTCCGCGCGCCGCCGGCCCCCTCCCTGATACGAACCTCTCATTCATAACATGATAGGGGGTAAAAACGTCACGAGCTGTTAGGGGGCTGGCCACACGACAATACGATGGTAATTATGTGGGTACTTATCAGTCAATGAAGTGCAAGTCGGTCGAGAGATGAAGCCGTGGGAATTCACAGCGTAACACCGGACTAATAACAAACAATAAACGTTCATATGTTTAATAAATAAATTCGTAGCAGTACATCGCATTGTGTATAAATAACCATTTCGTTAATATTATAATTATTGCTATATACAACTCTGTTCCATTGATAAGATGTAATTAGGTACTTATTGCAGAACCCATGATAAGTAAAAACATTTGGTACGTACAAAATGGATAACTCAGTTTTGTATGAGGAAAAAGGGCCTCATATAACATTAGCAAATAAAATACACGTTCAAATGAAATGGAATGCACGATTACATACTTAGAAACACTGAAATAATAAATCTTAAATTAAAACCATTAGCCTATATTTATATAAAATCTCATTGTTTACAAATCAACTAATGTATGCTTATCTTCTCTAAATTGATAATACAAAAATAGCAAAAAAGAAACACTAGTCGCTTAAATCTACATTCAGATCATAATGCTGCCACTACAAAATACAGAAGCTAAAATATTTCCTTACAATCAGACTTGTATATTTTCGAATGTTCAGGGCATTGTTAAACATTATTTTTTATCGTACACGGAAAATGGCGAATTCATTAAACTACACAGAAACAATGCAAAAGTATAATCCCATGTGTCACAAATTCCTGGACAAAAAATACGTAAAAAGAAACCGCAAGACACACCAATAGAGTGCTAATACAAAATTACGAATCACTGTGTATATCCTCCATCATTCTTATTCTACAGAGCTACTGTTAGGCCCAACACACATTTTATAATCTAATAATTTATTTAATATTGCCACTTTTTGGTTATTTTACCAAATCCCTTTCCATCTTGGGACTCCATTTTGTATGTACTCCATGCCCTCATTTCACTTATGTCCATTGCGTTTGGGTGGTACAGTGAAGAGAGAAGGAACGTGTGTCAATAAAGCTGATATTCCTCCGTGAAGTATACACACTCTTGGTACGCAGCATTTGACTAGGTAGTCGCTGAACTGTAAAGGAAAATGAGCGTTAAAGGGTGAAGTTGGCAGGCATATTGAACATAACATCATCATCATCATCACGCCTTTTATCCCCGAAGGGGTATGCAGAGGTTCACACAGAAGTAACACCCACTTTTGACTATTTATGTTATGAGTCCCATGTAATAGGGGGTGAGCGTATTGCCATATTTGCCCGACCCGAGAATCGAACCCGAAACCCCTTGCCTGGCAGTCGCACTTGGGACTACTCGGCCATCGAGGCATATTGAACATTTTGACTAAACTAAAAATAGGCTAAGATCCTACGATCTTTGGAAGAAGTCTTTCATTGTAGAGGTAGTATCAACATTAAGAACAATTTGTACTTTTTCTCAAAAATAATGCATTTAAAACTGACTTAAAAAATTCCTAAATGTAGCCGCTAATGTCTGCCAAAATAGTGTCGAAGTGGGAAGTGTGTCTGAATTTGAGAAAGAAAGAAAGAAACAAAAATTATTTATTCGCCACCAGACATGGACCACCGAATATTAACACACAAAATAAACATTGAAAAACATAAGAACATAAAATAACAAAAAAAAACAGCAGTAAAAAAAACAATGAAGGCAAAAAAACATTATAAAAAAGCAAAATAAATTTCTACCAAAGTCACCAATTTTACTGGACTCCTGGTAGGAGATGTCGTCCCAAACAAATTTTTTAAAGGTTGAACCTTCAACTGAAGATGAAATCTTGAATGATACATTAAACACATAGATTTATTTCATTTGTATAGATTCCTTTCTCATTCATTTGTTTACAGAAAACTTAATGTTTCATATTCATGGGAAATAGGTTAACGCGATGATAATACGGCGCCTATCCATATAGATAAGGAATTCATTTTATATTTATAGCACCGCTCATACATAAGTATAGGTCTTGTATATTGTTATAGACTTATAGAAATTCATTGGCTTTGCAAAAGCAAAAATCGAATATCTCATAACAATAGTGGTCGAAAGAAGGTGGTATTATGTGCACTGTGTTCCTCTGCCGTGGGGATGAAATATTATGTAGATAACATAACACTACATCACGCATTTTATCCCCGAAGTGATAGGCAGAGGTAGTACACATTACAATGCCACTGTACAATGTTACGCCCACTTTTCACTATTTATGTTATGAGTCCCATGTAATAGAGGGTGAGTCTATTGCCATATACCGGGCACAATTTAAGACTCCGTGTTACTACTGAGATTTTTTTTTAAATCCCTGTAATACTTTGCCAGCCGTGATCGTCCCACTGCAGTGAAGGCCTCCCTACCCTCCTTCTATTCCTCCATGTGTAAAGCCGGTTGGCACGGTGTCTGGACAACTGACTGCCGCGCAATGTGTCGCGGGTTCGATTCCCGCGCGGAACGACTATTTTTGTAATCCACAGATTGTTGTTCCGGGTCTGGGTGGCATGTGAATGTGAACTTGTATGTTTGTAAACGCACCCACGACACAGGAGAAAACCTAGTATGGCGCAACGTTTAAAAAAAGCTTTCTGTGCTAAGACTGCAAATTTAGAAAATTCTCAAATCTATGAGATAATTTAAACATTAAACTGTACAATATATCTAAATAAAGTTCACCGTTGAACTTGAAAGTAGGCGTCCATTCGAAACGGCGAAAACTTAAGACGCGCTACTCAAATGAGGTTATTGACCATTTGACAGCGAATTACTCACACTAACAACTTGTGTTCATGATATCATCAATATTATCATACTTTAAATATATTTTTACAACTCGCTTGTCGGTCTAGTAGTTAACGAGGTTCTGGGTTTGATTCTTGAATGAGGATTTTTGTATTTTGTACTTTCTGTTGCTAACTTAAGTTTTGTTATTTAGTCGAGTGCGGTCAAAGGCTGTAGTAGCTACAGTTCAGCAAAGGTATCGGCCATTACAATTTCGGGGTCGAACAAAATATTATTGGATGATATTAATGGATGACAAGAACTGTTACGAAGACGTTTTGTACGCGTATCCCGAGAAAAGTATTATTAAGTTTTTATTTTTTTATGGAATAGGAGGTAAACGAGCAGACGGATCACCTGATGGTAAGCGATCAGCGCCGACCGTGGACACCCGCAACACCAAAGGAGTCACAGGTGCGTTGCCGGCCTTTTAAAAAGGAATACGCTCTTTTCCTGAAGGTTTGAAGGTCGTATCGGTCGGAAATACCACCGACGACAGATCATTCCACAGTTTTGCTGTGCGAGGCAGAAGTCTCAGTAATATGAGAATGTGCATTCTGAAATTGTGATCTGAAGATGGCACAAAGCTATAGTATTTTAACTAGACAAATGGTTACTGTCTACTGTTGCAGAAGTTTATTTATTCATTGAAGTAAACTTTAAAGTAAGCGAGACCAGACATAACGGCGACATATTATTATTGCAGTTAGCACATATTGCCTCATAACCGCGACACCGATCAGTGAGTCAGTGTCTGTCTGGTCAAACCATTATTGGGTTTTTGTTTCCGAAATAGAAGGTAACTAATACTGATGACCTTATGCCCCTTATGTTAATATTAAAACTTTTCAATATTTGTTTTTTTTTTATTAAAAAGAAACGTTGTCCCACACTAGGATTTTCTCCTGTGTCGTGGGTGCCTTTACAAACATATAATTTCACATACACATCACACCCAGACCCGAAACAACAATTTGTGGATCACACAAAGTATTGTTCCGTGCGGGAATCGAACCCACGACACGTTGCATGGCAGCCGGTTGCCCAGCTACCGCACCAACCGTGCAGTCATGAGCAGCATTATTATGTTTTTGGCTTACTCAGGTAACTGCTACTGAGTAGAAGTGCGACAGTAACGGCGTCGCGGGTCGCGGAATGCTGCTCATGAATAAGAGCCTCTAGCATGGCTTGATACTAGTCGAGTTCATCGTCAATCAGTTTCGAGAGTAAGCCGAAAATATAATAATTAATTTGATGCCCCTTTGTGGTGCTGATGATGAATACCTGGATGGTTTTGATCCCAGTCACAGACAGACGGATGGACAATTTAATTTTTGACTTTAACTTTGAAGTCTTTAGTACTTTTCTATCTAAAAGCTACCTTTTGAAGGTTTCACCACAAAATAAACGTAAATACATAATACCAAGAAGCAGTATATTATAAACTTCCATTTCAGTTTATTACCTCAAACAGCTAACGCCATCTATCGATATTTGATAACACTATCAATTAGCATAAACTGCTGCACTGCTGGGCCCATAGTACAAAGCGCTCTGGTACCCTTATAATTACCAATAACACTGCTGGGCAAGGGGTCTCGGGTTCGATTCCCGGGTCGGGCAAAGTATTACTGTTTTTTTTAAATTCTCTGTGGTAGCACGGAGTTTAGAATTATGTCCGGTATATGGCAAAAGGCTAACCCCCTACTACATAGGACTCATAACATAAATAGGGAAAAGGGGATGGTACCAAAGTAACACCTACTTTTCATACATAATAACATCACGCCTTTTATCCCCGAAGGGGTAGGCAGAGGTGCACATTACGGCACTTATGCCACTGTACAATGTAACACCCACTTTTAAGTGCAGATTAACTTAATGCCAATGTACAAATACAGTGGCATTAAGTGCCGTTATGTGCACCTCTGTTTGTACCTTCGGGGGTTAAACGCGTGATGTTAAGTAAAGATAAAATTTAAAAAGCTAGCTAAAAGTGGGAGTTTCACCAAAAATATTTCCTGTTCATCTATTCTGGACATAAAACATGTATTTATAATAACTATCGTGAGACATACTAAATTAAGTAAAAACGCGTGTTACTCACGTGAATATACTGAGAAAAGCTCTACTAGTTTCGAACCAAAGAGGGGTTCTTCCTCATGAGCAGCATGCGCGGTCGCGGCGACGTCGCGCAGCTCACTACTAGAAACTAGTAGAGCTTTTCTCAGTATATTCACGTGAGTAACCCGCGTTTTTACTTAAACTGTCAAACACCAAGCGGTCACCAGTGACCGCAACCTATTGTTCTTTAATTGTGTCTATAAATACGGTACTCGACGAGTTAATAAAACATGTAATTTATTTAAATATCCACTCACCAATTGAGCAGTCTCATCTTCAGCTGACGCGACGACAACCATCTTCTTTTGTTTAATTGCTTCTTGAATAACTTTCTGAGGATGGAGCCCTAGAGCCCTCAGCTCATGCTGGCCCAAATGGACCCCACTGTAAGGCACGTTTATGCTGCCATCTATGCAGCTTTTCTCGTAACTATGGGAAGAAATGATGGTGATATATAGTAAAATATAGTAAAAAGTATAAGTATTATAAAGCTCCTTAATATAGTTAATGTATTTTGGATTTTATCACAGAATAATAAGTTAACTAAAATCGCGGGTTACTCACGTACTCAGAAAAGCTCTACTAACTAGTTAAGTCTAACTAGTTTCTTAGCTGCGCGACGTCGCCGCGACCGCGCACGCTGTTTATCAGGAAAAACCCCTCTGTGGTTCGAAACTAGTAGAGATTTTCTCAGTATATTCACGTGAAAAGCTCGCGATTTTGATTAATTCATAAAGATAAAGATAAAGCCATATTTATTTAGTAAATCATGAGTAATTACATAATAATAAGGTTGAAAATTGTATGTCCACTTAATATTTTAGTTATAATTTTTTAACGCAAAATGTGGATGTTTTCGTGTCTAGTCTTAAAATATTATGTCATGCTATGATTCATATCAAAGCAACATTTATGACACTCAATACAAAACACAATAAAGAAGGTACTCACAGTAAATTAGACCTAATGTCGATGACACAGCACTTATCTTGGCATATCAGCGAGAAGAAATCTGATAAGTTGATCCTTGGACTTATTTCAGTGAATAACACTTCCATAGGGATTTCCACTATGTCCTGAAAATAAACCTTATTTTAAAGAGATTATGGACTATTATAAAATGATGATATCTTATTTAAAACGTTGCAACGCGTTTTATTTGTAGGTATGTACTTGAAGAAATTCGATCAAATATAACATGTAACATTCTTTATAAATCACACTCTTTACGCTCTGCCTATTAACTTTCTTTTTTCATTGAAACTAAGTCTAAAATACATATGAAAATAAGTTTTATCACCTCGTCCAGTTTCTATAACCTATCTATCTGTAGATTTGCTTACTAGAGATAGAATTTTGACACATTTTTTATGGAGCTCATGTCAAAATTCTATCTCTAGTAAGCAAATCTACAGATAGATAGGTTATAGAACTGGACGTTAGAGAACTGTTACATAGACATAGACGTATATTTAAGCACTAATTACAAACATGCAAAAACATATCATAAAACTTATAATCACACAGTAGATTTTCCAACTTACCATAGGATCTTTGACTACAGCTTCATTAGTGAATCTCCTATAGCTGACACTCCTCGGAGAACTTCGACACATCTCTATTGATTCCTGTGGAAATATTAACTTATTAATGAAAATGTCACTACTGTTTTTATATACTACGACACCGGCAAAAAAAAAACACCACACGGTCCCCTGGGTGCTTACTCTTGAAACCAATCTCAATGTCAATGCAATATCAATCGAATAGAAACTCAATAATTATTCAATGTCAAAATTGTACAACCCTTATTGTAGCTGTTAAAATGCCATTCAGAGTATGGAATGTAAAGCCAAACTCAATACCATTTACTTCATTAAATAACATCCCGCCTTTTATCCCCAAAGGGGTAGGCAGAGGTATACATTACGCCACTGTACAATGTAACACCCACTTTTCACTATTTATGTTTTAAGTCCCATGTAATAGGGGGTGAGCCTATTGCCATATACCGGGCACAATTCCACTTCATTAAATATCCACGTAATACGGATGCAATGGGCGCTAGTGTTGCAACTCAAGAGTACGATATTTCACAATAACAATGTCTTTCAATCGGAATTGGATTCAAGAGTAAGCATCCTGATGGTAAGTGGTCACGGTGGCCTATGAACGCTTGCAACACATGGGGCATTACATACGTCTTGCCGACCATTAATAAACCTTTTTACTCCTTTCTTGAAGAGCTCCATATTGTAGCCCACCGGGAAATACTGCTATAACATAACACAATCATAACATAAGATCACGCATTTTATCCCCAAAGGAGTAGGAAGAGGTGCACACAGAAGTACCACCCACTTTTCACTATATATTTATGTTTTGAGTCCCATGTAATAGGGGGTGAGCCTATTGCCATATACCGGACACAATTCCAGACTTCGTGCTACTACTGAGATTTTTTTTTAAACCCATTAATACTTTGTCCGACCCGGGAATCGAACCCGAGACTCCTTGCCCGGCAGTCGCACTTGTGACTACTCGGCCATCGAGGCAGTCTATTTAATTAAATACTACTATTCTTTCCATAAATACTAAGTTAGTAGTGGTTCAAAGATAAAAGTTTACTCATTCAAGACTCTATTTCACAGGCATAAAGGTGCTTAAGTTCGAAAGCACCAATGCAACTCTTTCGAAGCAAGCACTTAAAATCCATTTGACTTCTCCAATCTTGGCCTCACAGAAAACCGACGTGAAGCAACGCTTGCATTGTTTCGTCGTGTGAGTGAGGTTACCGGAGGCCCAATTACCCTCCCCTTCCCCAATCTCCCGAATTCCTGAATCCCAACGATCCTCAAACTCCTAATCCTCAAAAGGCCGGTAACGCACTTGTAACGCCTCTGGTGTTCCAGGTGTCTATGGGCGACGCCGATTGCTTACCATCTTCAAATCTTCAGTGCAATTCATGACTTATTAATTTCCATTACTTCTACGTGTGAAAAAAGACTTTAGCCATCACTGGAGCAGTTTACAGGCTAACTTGATTGATTGAATCAAAGTTCAACGACCTCACAAGACGTTAATGTTAGTAACTTTTTCCGATATAGAGAGGTCATTCACCTTATATGTTACATGGTTATATGAATTGAGTTTAGTATAGGTTTAACATAGTGTTAATTCGTAAGTATATTTTGCACATAAAATTGTTATAAGCGCCTTGGAAGTTGTTCATACATGTTAATGTAAATCAAGAATTAATTAATATGATAATTTATAACTGTTGTATTAGAAAAACTTCGAAATTTCTTATCTTTAGCTATAAAATTGCCTATTTGCCGTTCTAAAACGGCAATTTGAGAGATAGACTGTAGATATTATGATAATTATAATAGGACTCCTAATTGACAGTTCTTTTGGATATTGCTCCTAATTTTTATCGATAATTAAACTGATATTTAAATCACTTCATACAAATTCGTTTCCAAATAAGCTATAAGTATTGTTGGCAACTGGCTGTGGTGTTTTCCGCGTGATCAGATAACAAAATGTAGCTTATATCACTCTGCATTCTCTTAAATATCTCCTTACACAAAATCGCGCCAAAATATTAATACGCTGCGACGTGAAAAACAAATCAACACACTTTCGCATAGAGGATTTATTGAGGCCTTCTGGAGCGTCCTATTCTATATTATTGGATGTCACAAATAAGAAGTAAGTTGCAACAAAAGCCGCTACTTTACCTTTAAAATATTGTGTATTTAGCAACACAAAACCTATCATCAGCAGCTGTAGCCAAATGCCATTTAGCGTTTGTCTACGTGTAGAATAGAAAACCAAATTTTATAATAACTATCGTGAGACATACTAAATTAAGTAAAAACGTGGGTTACTCACGTGAATATACTGAGAAAAGCTCTACTAGTTTCGAACCACAGAGGGGTTCTTCCTCATGAGCAGCATGCGCGGTCGCGGCGACGTCGCGCAGCTCAGTGAGATTACCAAATTACATGGAATTGACGTAAATTTTGACAATTGTCAGTCTCATCCCCATACATTTAATTTTGTGCTCTCTCTGTGGCGTTTAGCTAAAGTTACAAAAGTGGCGTTTGGCTAAAGGCACTGCTTACCCTTCCAAAACAAAGAACCATGAACCTTATGCAGCAATATACAAAATAATATTACTATATTCAGTTAGAAATGATGACGAAACGCCACTTATAAACATTTACAATGGTGCCAAGGTATCGGAATCATCTGTGCAGTGTGCAGTGTAATGGGCGAATAACTCTTGATAAACTATTGTTAGAAACCCTTGACACACTCGCAGTTCCCGCCAATGTCAGTGTCAAAGCGACTTGAGTCTCCAATGTTTTCAGTAAGGATATCATATGAAGATTTCTTCACAAACAAACAGAGTTATAAAAACCAGTGTATCGTGGTCTCTATTTGAATGATCTTTCTGCACATTCGACAATCAGTTTATATTAGTTTTATTTAGATTGATGATATACCTATAGCCATGTTTACGTAGATAAAGAATGTTGAATTTGCTTTTAAAGTATTTTTTAAGAAGTCATTTATTTATACATACACATACATAACTTCACGACTATCTCCTATGGGGGCAGGCAGATTTTTTTTAAGGGGTGAAATTCATCGAATGACTGCTCCCGCCTGGGTGAGACGGAAAGGAGTGTCAGACTCTTATTGACTAAAGACCACCCCGTTCCGTCTCCTGCACGTCGGGCCGGAACCCCGGTTACCCGTTAGGTTCTCCGCGACAGGCAGACTCTATAGAACGCCAATTGCTACGATTCTTACATACCTCTTTCGCTTCATCAATAGTCATCAGTCTATTCATGCATGCTTGTTGGTTTATTTATATAGATATATGAAATAAGGGGGAACTTAAATAAAAATTTATTGTTTCATTTTATTAGCAGACAAAAAGTTTTAATAAGTTTGGGCCATATTAGACATATTTACGCCCGAATACTGAAAGACGAGCTTAAGTATAGTTCTGTCACTACAGATTCTTTGTAAAATAACAGACAGACAGATATGGCACGATATTTAAGTACATATTGAGTAAGCTTTCAGTGTTCGGGCGTTTTTTTTTTAAGGGGGGAAAATCATCGAATGACTGCTCCCGCCTGAGTGAGGCGGGAGGGAGTGTCAGACTCTTACTGACTAAAAACCACCCCGTTCCTTCTCCTGCACGTCGAGCCGGAGCCCCGGTTACCCTATAGGTTCTCCGCGACAGTATTCGGGCGTTAGTGTGAGATCTTAGATGGGGTTCCTGAGTTTACCAAAGTATTTTATTAGTCTCGTCTGGGCGCAGAATAACTGTTGATAAGCTATTGTTAGAAAGCCTTGACACACTCGCGACTCCCGCCAATGTCAGTGTCAAAGTGACTTGAGTGTTTAGTAAGGATATGAAGATTTATACGTATGTAGGTATGTATGTAGATATGAAGTGTTTATATCATTTGCATAGTAGATGTAGCTATCGAGAACTCGTTGGCCGAGTGGTCGCAAGTGCGACTGCCGGACAAGGGGTCTCGGGTTAGATTCCCGGTTCGGGCAAAGTATTACTGGGTTTTAAAAAAAATCTCAGTAGTAGCACGGTGTCTGAAAATGTGCCCAGTATATGGCAATAAGCTCAACCGCTATTACATGGGACTCATAAAATAAATAGTCAAAAGTGGGTGTTACATTGTACAGTGGCATTAAGGGCCGTAATGTACCCCTCTGGAGATAAAAAGCGTGATATTATAAAAAAGAGAACTCACAAATTGAATTAAAGTTCAAAGAGTTCTTGGCAACGTACCTTGACGCACTCTCCAATGTCAATCTCTGGTAGGTCAGAGAACAATAGGATGCACTCATTGAAGCCGGACGATAGTAACGTATCTCTCAGCTGTCTCAGTATCCCCACTCCCATAAATAAAGGTAAAGCTGGACCTTCCACTAGCAATGCATCCCATAGGTGCACTATTTTGTGCAGGGGAAATACGTCTGGAATAGAATTCATGGGTTAGAATGTAGGTAAATATTTTTAGACTTATACATAGCCTTTATTTTGAAGGACCGTAATGTAATTAAGGTGATCTTTACGTCATAAAATTCTACTTAGGTAGTACCTAGGCGCTAATACAAAAACAGTAGCTGAGACTTGGCGCATGAGACGTCTTAACTCGTTACTTGAATGTGAGACTTTAGATACATTTTTTTTAATATTCTTTCATTTTAGGCCCCGAAATCTCATGCTTAGCAATAGCACGCCTTATGACACACTAATAATGAAGTAGAAATAAAAAATTATATCGGCATCTATCACTTTATACTATTTTTTTATAGGATAAGCCGGTAACTAGCAGACGGATCACCTGATGATAAGCAATCGGCGTCGCCCATGGACACCTGGAACACCAGAGGCGTTAAAAGTGCGTTACCGGCCTTTTGGGATTAGGAATTTGAGCATTGGTGGAGATTCAGGGATTGGGGAAAGGGGGGAGATTATTGGGCCTCCTATCCTTACCAATATTATAAATCGGAAAGTGGGTTTGTTTGCTTGTTCCGCTTTCACGCCGCCCGTAACTACTAAACCGATTGCTTTGAATTTTTGCAGACGTAAAGTTAATAGTCCAGATTAAATAATAGGGTACTTTTATCCCGGAAAAATTTGATATTCCCGAGGGAAAACAAAAGTATTGGTATAGATGGTGCTGTATGTATTGGTATATGTCACATAGGCTACCTTTTATCCTTTTGTGACGCGAGCGAAGCCGCAGGTAAAAGCTAGTATAATATAAACTATACACTATTTATATACTATTCAAGACAAAATTTCAATAACTCACGTGAAAACATAGTTAGGAACCAAGGTATAGCGAACAGCTCCGGTACAAAGTTGATCTCGTGTAAATGTGTGGCCAGCTCAGGCTCGTGGAAGGCGGTCATCTGCCAGAACTTTGCTAGGTACTCCTTGATTACAGCGCTGTTGTCCTTTAAGAAGAACTTGTGTAGGAACTTCGGTACGAATGCTGAGAGACAGGCGAAGGCGCGGGCTGTAGATGGAGATATAATATTGTAGTGGCAACATTAAATATAATATTGAAACAAATTACTTTTATATGTTGTATTATGATATCAATATAGAACATCCCTGTCACCACTCGTATTTCTCGCGCGGGTGCCGCAAAGCCGACCGAAGGAACTTCATATAACAGAGTTCTGACAACAGCCCTCTCTTATAAACCAGGTACTTTTAAACTATCATCTCCAACCCTTTTTCCAAGCATAGAGGTTTTAGCAAAAGTTTCTTCTATATTTAGACAGTTGCGCTGTCAACCACTTACGTATTCAATTTTCAACTTTAACCTAATAAACATAGGATACAAAATTGCACACACTAACCTTCATTACAGAAATTAAGATACAGGAACGGTGCAGTGAGGGAGTCCAGTCCTTGCCAGTACACATACTGCGGGTTGGTCAGTAGCCACGCTTTGAGTAACCTCTTCAACGTCCTGTGGCCGGCTGAGCCGCAGAGTAACCAACAATATTGGTGACAACGGGGTATGTCCACGTCTATCTGTTAAGGGAAAATAGACTTTACCTTTGCTATTTAGAGTTTAAAATTTGATCAAGTTGTGTGATGTAAAACTGTGACTACCTAATGAAATGCAAGCAGCAATAGGTACCGTTTAATTTTTGTGTGAGCTAAATGCATTCTATCAACTGAATATTATAAGTCATACAAAAGAGACCGTGAATGGATTAGATCTTTTTTGAAAAAGGCAAACACGTAGACAGATCTCCTGCTGGTAAGTACTTTCTTAGATTATCTAGACACCACTGACAAACGGTGAAGGAAAACATCGTGAGGAAACCTGAGCTTATAATAATTTCTTATTATAAGTTTGTAATCACCAACCCGCATTGAGCAAGCGGGTTGATTAATGCTCAAACCTTCTCCATGTGAGAAGAGGCTTTGCTTACCAGAGGGCGCATTTATGGGCTGTTGACGATGATGATGACAATTTTTTCTTGAAATTTTACAATTCATATCGGTTCGAAAATACGACAGCTGAGTAATATACGTTCGGCAGCCGTATTTTAATGACTACTTACTTGTCTATCAGTAGGAGTAGGAGTCTCCTTATCAATCCTCTCATACTGATCCTCAATGTCTCCCACCACTCCTAGTAAAGCTGCCCACACGTCGCCTCTAACTAGCGGCGGTATGTCTATCTCCGCTTCGGCTCTGATGTATGGCGCTGTGTATGGGTAACCCTGTGAACAAGTAAAAGAATATTGAACAAGCCAGTACTTGCAAGGCCTACACATGGTATTTTTCTGGCCAGTTAGATAGTTACTGAAAACTTTAACTCATGAAACAAAGTTACAATCCAGTATAGGTACTTTATATAGACTACTACTACTTAAATATCAATAATATGTACGTAAGGATTGAGGAGCCACATCACATTTTTTTAAATCTGATCTCGCCATTATTTAGCAGCAGTTTAGCTTATTTTGCAGCACGAATTCTAGATTTAGCAGCAAAATATATCACTAGTTATTTTAATGCAAACATGGCTCCTCAATCTAAACGTTTTAATTGAGGAGCCACCTAGAACTCGTAAGTAATAGATGAATATTTATAAAAATTATGTATCATTTAGTAGTAATTTTGCATATTACCATATAAAAATTTGGCTTCTGTAGTGCTATAATTAAAGAAAATATAATACTTTTAATATGGCTCCTCAATCTAAACACAAGAGGTGAATTTCTATTGGATGTGAGCGATCAATATATATATTTACATATTGATAATTTAGCAGGTGTTGTGTTTGTTTTTGCAGTATATATTTTGCTGCTAAATCTAGAATTCGTGCTGCAAAATAAGCTAAACTGCTGCTAAATAATGGCGAGATCAGATTTAAAAAAACTGATGTGGCTCCTCAATCCTTACGGACATTCAATAATGCCGATTTCAATTCTATAATACTATTTAAATCTAGACGACATTAATTAAATAACATAATGTGTTAAATAATGTATCGTGGAATTGAACATTCCCTTTTTTGTAATCTAATAATCTAAATGCAATTTCAAACACAAAAGAATCTATTAAGTTTAAATCTAATTTAGTCTAATTCACATTAGCAAGACCTAATTTGTCGTGTCATCCCATATTATTTATAATATAAATGTCTGCTAAAGACGAATACAATTTTAACACTATGCATACAGAAATCACTTTTGAAGAACAGTAAAATCTTACGAGCAAAATAAAACATAAAACGAACTTTTATTCTCCTGCAACAGAGTTCATTTTACACCATCTTAGTACAAAAGGCTGTTGTCGGAAGGCATTCATTTGTACAAAATAAAACCGACCTTACGATTAAAACAACAAGGCTAAATTTCAAACAACAACTTACATGTAAGAGTCGATGGAACCATAGAAGTCTATAGAACTGGTACTCCGTATCTCTTTCTCTGATGATCTTGGGTAAAGCAACTGCATCATATTCTTTTCTTCGTTCATGCATCAGTGGGTAGAAGTCTTGAGGTGGTACATGACTGAGACGGGACTTTAGAAGATCTAAGCTGTACTTGGCTAGTCTTCTGTCGAATAACGCACCTGTCTTACCACCTATTGTGCAGCCGTCTAGGAGTATTGCTCTGTAAATAAAAATTCGTTTTAAGACAGGATCAAATTTCAAATTCAGGCTCAATAGAATATTATGACTTATATTGGTAGAAAGTACTTGAAGGCACATTCAACCAAATTTGAATTTGTTGGGCAACTGGTTACCGCGCAACGTGTCGCGGGTTCGTTTCCTGCACAGAACAACCACAGATAATCGTTGCGGGTCTGGGTGCCATATGTATGCGAACTTGTATGTTTGTAAACGCACCCACGACACAGGATAAAATCTAATTGTGGGACACTGTTTAATAAAAAAAATTGGTGTGCAGGTATGGAAATAAAGATATAGATACTAAATTGTATGCTTTTTAAAAAATCCATATCTCAGGCTAGACTCAGTCACCAATCTATTGTTACTTACTATCTCTGTACTGCATCAATCTTTTTTTCTCATCAGAATACTAAATAACAGATAACTTGACTAATATACTCGTATTATCAGAGTATTAAGAACGAATAACTATCGCATTCGTAACGTAAGAGTATCGAGCGCGTTCGATGCTTTAATTGGCCGGCTCTAGTGAACCCACCAATCCGAGCGCCGCACGCCGAACGCAGTCCATACTATTATAACAATTCGTCAGTGAAAAAATTGCTAAGAGGACGCACGTACAGATATCTTTGGTGGATTTACGTTACGATGCGATAATTATTCGAGCCTGGTACTCAGAGGTATTTTTTCGCCGCCATAGCTAATAGAATTCTTAATTCAAATACTCACATAGGCATAGACAAAATTGGCGGGCTATTTTTGATAAGGTAATTCTTTTTTAATTCCGCTTGAATATCGCCGCCGGCCAGTTGCCACAGGTGGTAAAGGTATTGCAGTTTACAGCCCATTAAACCGCGAGGAGTTTTTACTTCGACCAGTTCTTTTGAATCAATTTTTGTTAAATCTTCTACTAATTCTGAAAATGTAGCTCTTTCACTGGGATATATTTTGAGACATTTTTCTATGATATTCCTCAAGTTTTCTGGTACTTGCTGTAACAATAATAAAATTATTCTGTTTATTTTGGCACTTAATTAAGCAGTTTTACATAGTACAATATTCAATTCCAGACACAGTAATTATAAACTGACTGCCTTTTTGGCAGAGTGGTCGCAAGTGCGACTGCCGGGCAAGGGATCCCGAGTCGAGCAAAGTATTATTACATTTTTTTGGAAAAAATTTCAGTAGCTGAGTCTGAAATTGTGCCCGGACAAATTGTGTGAAGATATTGGTATCAAATGAGTTGTGTAATAATAGTTAATTCATTGACTCTGTAATATAATTTTTGTTCCATACACTATCTAATTAATTATTCATACTTGTCTTATATACATAGTATTTTTTTTTAAGGGGGAAAGTCATCGAATGACTGCTCCCGCCTGGGTGAGGCGGAAGGGAGTGTCAGACTCTTACTGACTAAAAACCACCCCGTTCCTTCTCCTGCACGTCGAGCCGGAGCCCCGGTTACCCGTTAGGTTCTCCGCGACTCCGAATCGGCATCGGCCCTATTGGGCCCCATCTGTGGTGGTCTGATGGCTCTTTGAGGCGCGCGCGGAACGCTACGCGCCGTACGCTCGGGTCTGTTTCTGGTCGGACGGGGAGCCACCCATGCTCGCCGTCCGCAGTCCCGCGCTTACGGTGGCCGGAGATCGTACCGCAATCCCCGACGCCCGGTGTGTCCTTCGCGATGGCTGGGTTGCGAGGAGGCAGCGCTTCGCTGCCTCACGCGTCCCGCCTCCTCCTTAGCTAGCATGACTGCTTCCCAAAAGGAGGAGACGGCATCCCAGTCCCCCTCGCTCCGCATCATGGCCTGCACTAGGCCCGATCGCGAGAGGTCGCCATCGCCGATCACTTCCCTGAGGGCACGGCGGTGCTCAGCCCACGCAGGGCATTCCGCAACAGTGTGTTCCACCGTGTCCTCAGGGCGGTCCTCGCAGTGATGACACCCGGGCGTTTCCTCCCGCCCCATTAGACACAGGTACCTCCGGAAACTTCCATGTCCGGTGAGGACCTGTGTCAGGCGGTAGGTGAGGACGCCGTAGCGTCTCTCAAGCCACTCCTCAAAGAGGGGACTTACCGCTGCAATGGCAGCGAGCCCAGCCCTCGGTTTTTTTTTTTTTTTGCGTTTCGTGCTGCCATTCCGCCATGAGATCGCGCCGGAGCTCATCCCGCCACGCGCTTATCTGGCGCGGCAGCAGAGTTATATACATAGTATACCTAATGTATAAACATAATATTGAGTCAATGACACAATGACACTGTGTTTTATTTAAAGATATGACATTTACATAAATATTTAAATGTAATGTGATAAGTACACACATAAACCGCTTGAATCCACGTTTAGACACACGACGGGTTAATACTCTACTCAATTTCTAGATAAAAAATTGTAGAATTTTAACGTACATATTACAGTTACAGTGAGTGCAGTTCTAATAAGTCCTTATAATCTTTGTTTGTAAATTGACGGACAATATGTTATTTTACGAGAAAAGATTCATGATTTGGGCAAAGCAATTTTACAACATTACCAAAACACAATGATTTATTATTAGATGCTAATTGTATGTATAAAATATTCATTTTCTTTTCATATTTATCATTTCTAAATGTGTATTATTATATCAAGGATAATATAATTATTGTTGGTACCAAGAGATGATCAATAACATATAATTATTTATCAGTTTATCAGTAGTGAAATGCTATTTGCCATCAAGTACTATCATTATAGTTTCATATCAAACATGTATGGCCCTTCAAATCATTAATTACATTCAATATACCAATATTAAACATAACTCATATTGAATTAACTACGAGTTACTCACGTAAACATATTGAGAAAAGCTCTACTAGTTTCGAGTCAGAGAGGAACTCTTCCTCATGAGCAGCGTGCGCGGTCGAGGCGATTTCGCGAGCCTACAGCCAGCGACATCGTCGCGCAGCCGCAGTCGCATGATAGTCATTATAAAAATAATTCATATCAAATAAAAAGTATTATAATCAAATTACCTACTTTATACTGCTCAAAGCAGTCATGTTCCCTGGCTATCCTCTCTGCTGGGTTGTTAGCATGCACAAGGGTCAGTATTCTCCTCAATATAGGGCCAGGTTTTAGATTGTTCCATAGTTTGCCAATAGAAAGTTCTAGAAGTATGATACCATAGCTCCAAACATCAGCTGCAGGGCCACCACCACTTAGTATTGTTTCTGGACTGAGGTATCTTGGTAGGCTGGAAATATAGGATCCAGGTCAAAGATTATTTTCAGAGGAGAATATATTTGAAGGAATGTTAACTGGGTATTATTATTATTGGATTTGGTTTATTATTATTCTGGTGTAATAATTATGTTAATCTTAATTTTTTTACATACCAAGTATAAAACAAATGTCCAATAAAATAAAAGAGGAATGTAAGATTTTGAGAATAAGAGAATTTGAGTGGGACAACAATTATGATGTCACATCTGTTACGTACAAATATCCAAACGGTACTCAATTTTAAGTTGTGGTTAAGTTAGTACTACAAATTCTTTGTAAAATGACACAGATGGCAGGATATATAAGTACAACTTAAAATTGAGTAGCCTTTCACTATTCGGGTGTTAATCTCTGAAGGAAATAGTAAGTACCAAAATATTAAGTTAAAATTATGTAGGTCCTCAGGCATTAAGTATGCTAGCCCATATATCCCCAAGCAGCAGTCACCTAGTGACCGCTCACCAATAACTTCATTATAGACCTTATTTCCAATGTTTAGAGACTAATTTTGTTTGAAGAAATTTAGGGGATGATTTTCAATGATTTTCAATAGGCTAGAATTACATTTATGTTGTACAATGTCTGTGGCAAACAAAGACAAACTCACCCCAAAGGAAAAGACACTTCACTGCCTCCATCAGTCATATAATACAATCCATAATTAAACAATTTGACTCTCCCTTCATTATCAATAAGAATATTGTCATCAGACAGTGTCCTATGTGTAATATCCTGATCATGCAGGAACTTCATACTTATTGCTACCTGCTTAGCAATGTTTACAATCTCTTGAAATGAAAACTTTGATGTGCATTCTTTCAGCGACTTTCCTATCACCTCTGCAACTACTATTATTCGTTCTGTGGAGAAGAATGTTCATATATTTTATAATTATTAAAATAATGTTACCCCGCAATAGGATTTTCTCCTGTATCATGGGTGTGTTTATAAACATACAAGTTCACATACACACATGCACAAAGTGTTGCTCGGTATGGGAATTGAACCCGCACTAACCATGCAGTCATCATGCTTATAAATATTTCTATTTTCATTGTTGAGCTACTGCTAAAGACACTTTAGAATCAATATTAACAGCCAGTGACATTTCGGTGTTGCACTATGAGCCTCCTTTTCCTAACAAAATATGCCATAATAATCATCATTGGTAAATTGGTTGAAAATTGCAATTTAAAAGGTTTAGATTTATCAGAGAGTGCTTTTGCCTAGTCTCTGTCAAATTATATATAACCATTGAATGTTTCTGGAAATACTCTGGTAAAAGTAGATTATTTAGACATTCAAATAAAAACTCAAACTTACCATGTTTACCTCTGATTACGTCAAGATATGTACACAAGTTTGGGTGTTCTATCGTCAATAGACGTTGGGCTCGTCCTAATATTGTTATAGAACTTGGTGTAAGCGGCAAACCATTGCTTCCACACATTTCGCCAGGATGGTTCTTCGCAAAATACGTGCAAGCAGCGAATTTACAATCATCTTCGTTGTCTTGATACATTTTCAGCTGTACCTTACCACTATCTTCAGAAATTTTTATCTATATTATTATATTCGTCTGTAAAATAAACGTATGTTTTGATATAAGCCCACTTTTATAACAATTTTCTAATAATTAGGGGCGTTCTCATTGTCATTTTCATTACAACAATATTCTTCTGTTCCCGTCCGCTGTCAAAACAACGACAATGTCAAAGCGATGACATTTGACGCTTTAAGTCACGTTGTCTAACCCTTTAACCACCATAGGCAACTTATTACGGTCAAAATATTAACCGATTTTAATCGTATTCGCAATCGGACTACAACACCAATATACTTATCGTTGTAAATGTACTAACAAACTTTCAAATAAAATGAGGTGATCATAATTTTACATTCTTTCAAAATTCAGCGCGTAATTTGACAATGCAGAGGCTCAGCGTGGCTTGTTTTAGTATCGTTCTGACCACCTTACTGTATGTACAGACGACAACCAAAGTGCAGAGTGCATAATGTATTTTGTACACACGGGAATGCCGATTGCGTTGCAGGCAAACCTCGGTACAAAACCTCATATAGCGTGTTACAGTTACAACATACATGTGTAGGTAATTTCATATTAATGTGCATAAATTTGTCCATTACGGACACATTGGTATTTAATATTACTTTAGTGTCGGTATACGTATTAAATTCAGTAATAAACGAGGGTAAAGATAAAAATAACACTTAACAAACATTGAATAAATCGAATAATAAATGATCGAGCTACACAATTATTACACTAAATAGAAAATAATATAAAAATAGATATTATCTAGAATGAGATACTATATTTTACTCAACTTTGCAGTTGCAACTTGGGCGCAATAGTTATCGCTTGCGTGCATACGTTTCATATGTCGCAGGTTCGATCTCAGCACTCAGTCAGTTCTTTTTTAACCGACTTCAAAAAAAGGAGGAGGTTCTCAATTCGACTGTATATTATATGCTTTTTTAGTTATCAAATATTTTTTAAACATTATTTAATGCAAAATTTCTAATGTTTCAAGGCAATCACAGAACTCTCAGGATTTTTTATTTGATCCGTAAGTAGGGTAATTACCGATAATCTAAAACATTTCTGTCAAACACCTCACATTATAATAAGATTGTGCTCTTAGTTGTCAGTCAACGAGTATTTATTACCAATAACCACTACTCCTACCTATTCGTGTGTAACTTTATTTGATCTGTTGTTTGGACAAAGTTGTAGTTAAAAAGGAATCGTTCTGTGGGAGGAAAACGTATACCTACTTATATATATGTAAATGTGAAATTGTAAAGCAATTAAGAATATCTATCGGTGAGTAACAATAAAAAACTGTTTTGATACTTTTTGTGTTTATCACTACATTGTATAAACCAAAGTCGCTTTCCGCCGACTGTCGGTCCCTATGTATGCTTAGATCTTTAAAACTACGCAACGGATTTTGATGCAGTTTTTTTTAATAAATAGAGTGATTCTTATGGAAGGTATATATAATACATGCATATTGCACCCGTGCAAAGCCGGGGCGGGTCGCTAGTTAAGTATATGCTGTTAAGCTTAAAAATGGAAATGAATAAATTAATCCAACTTTATTTATATATCTGTGGTGGTTATACATATACTGCAAGGACTGCCCTGAGGGCACGGTGGAACACACGGGAGGGGCATGCCGCTGAAAACAGTGGTGCCCTCAGGGACGTGATCGGCAACGGCGACCTCTCGTGTCCGGCCCTAGTCCGGGTCATGATGCGGAGCGATGAGGACTGGGATGCCGTCTCCTCTTATTGCGAAGCAGTGGCTAGCTAAGGAGCTAAGGAGGAGGCGGGGCGTGTGAGGCAGCGAAGCGCTGCCTCCTCACAACCCAGCCGTGGCGATGGACACTCCGGGCGTTGGGGATTGCGGGACGATCTCCGGCCACCGTGAGCACGGGCTTGCGGACGGAGAGCATGGGTGGCTCGCCGCCCGACCAGAACCAGACCCAAGGTTTACAATTAACGGCTAAGTAAAATAAATTCCACTAATATATTTATGTGTCCACTAAAGCAATTCATTCAGCAGTTCACTACCTACATTTTATGTCTCATCGTTGTCAAACTTCACTTTAATGTTTTAATCGAAATCAACCTAGCAGATTGTAATCGGGATTTGTTTTATCGCTATACCTATTTTAGATTTGTAATTGTTATGTTCAGCGCTGATCACCATGCGCACAGAAAGCTAAGCTGCTACGCGTGCGTGATTAAAAAGCACATCCTAATTATGTTCATATCTCGGCCATCAGCGCGGATGGTGCACCTGCCATCGGCGTAAGACTAATACCAGCCTTTTTTCCCTGGGAGACAATCAGAGAGCACTTTCCTCATTTTTTCTTTATCTCATCTATGGTTACTGCCATGCCATGCTACTAATATATTTTAGCTTAAAAGATTGGGTATCAAATTTGAACCAATCATAAAAAAAGGTATTCATTGAATTTATTCATTCATAGACAGACAGATAATATAGACTGCTGTGGACTGCTGCTTTCTGCAGGAAACGAACAAAAAGGCTGAAAAATAATATAGTTTTACAGAAGAAAGCGTGCCATAATGATATATTAATAACGGTGAGTTTCCTACCCAGTAGTTTACATTTATTTTGGAACTTATTTCATCGTAGTCATCGGTACAACTTTCTTTTCTACAGCGAAAGACTTTCAAATTGAAATGGCTTGTGTTGAGAATATTCCACCGCACCACGCGGATTCTGAGATGGAAGAAGGGGAAATCGTGGATGATTTATCAGATATATCTTCTGAAGAAGAGTACCTGTTGCGTCAGAGACTGCAAGTGCTAGAAACTTACAACAATGTCCTTGAGCGTAAGAAAGCAAAACGCTTGTCTACAGGACCAGGTAAGAAACAGGAAACTTAAGTAGTAGGCATTATATACCGCGCGTCACAACCTCCTACTAATTATTCAATAACGACCTTGAGTTGTAATTAACCTTTGACCTAGTTAAAGTTTATCATTATACCTATTGTCTTGCATTTATTTCAATTTACATTGCATTATATTCTATTTTGCAAGCTAATTGGTAATTTTTTGTTGGAATGTTCTTGTCAAATAACAATGTTTATATAAGCAGCGATGCTTATTCCGAGTATACATACTTATTTGTCTGTATGTAGTCGGAATACTGACTTGACTTATCTTAGGAGCCTGTTTAAGAGAAAACTTTTCATTTACTAATTTTTGCTAAGCATTGCATCATTATTGGGTATCAATCATATCTAGTTAGAGTGTAGTAATCTTAATATTTTCATAGAACACAAGTTAATTTATATTCCATATTATCATTTATAAACGCATAAAACATGCTTTTGTATATAATCAAAGCAAGTTTAAATTGTCTACCTGTACCTACCTAATATCTTTACTTAAATTTCAAGTACAGCCAAAATTTTAGATCTTGGATTTCTTAACAGCTTTTGTTAATATGCCTTATGATGAATGCCACTCGCTCTATGATGTAAAATCTGTTTAGGTTTGTATATTAATATTTTAGATCAAAAATTAACTATGTGTAATTTAGCAAATCAAAAATAATTTGAATGCACAGTTGGTATTGGGCAACCAGCGGAGCAACTCTGTGTGATCCACAAATTGTTGTTTCGGGTCTGGGAGTCGTGTATGTGAACATGTTTGTTTATAAACGCACCCACGACACAGGAGAAAATCTTAGTGTGGGGCATGCGTTAAAAAACTTTAACACAGGGAAACTTAATCAATCATTTTCTTTGTAGTACTTCACAGTAATAATCTATATTTTTACTAAAAAGATAGCAGTCAAAATTGTTTGTATGATGCCAAAGTAAATAAGGAAAAGCAAATATTTATATGTGACATCAAAATGACAATATTGAGTAGGTACAGAGAATAATATTTTTTGGAAATTTTTGTATCAATGGAATGGTCATTCCCGGTTACTCAGATGCAAGTTATTGAATTACTAGCGACCTGCCCCGGCTTCGCACGGGTGCAATACACATGTATTATACATATATACCTTCCTTAAGAATTATTTATTAAAAAAAACACATCAAAATCCGTTGCATAGTTTTAAAGATCTAAGCATACATAAGGTCAGACAGACGGCGGATAGCGACTTTGTTTTATACTATGTAGTGATGACGAATTTCACAAAATATGGTTTATGGTAGTTTATTGCAGGCAAAAATAAATTCTATATTTCTTTAATAATAATTACTTAATTTTGTTGCTAGATTTTTGACATTCTAATTTATTAGAAACCTCAAAATGTACTGTTTGGTTTGCAATAACAACAAAACAATAAAATATCTTTTCATACATAATAAGAGCAACAAATTAATTTATAGGTATATACTAAAAAACATTGACATTAAAATTCATTGTGCATGTGTTTCAAATTTTCCGAAATTAAAATTAACTTTTATTTTATTCATGACTATACCTAAAAGGAAAAAAACATGGTAAGATAATAAAATTCATTCTAGTCTAAGGAATTTCGTTTTTTCTGTAGGCATGTAGTGCATTCATAACATTTTAGGTACAAAACATAAAAGGGAAGATACGTTACAGTATGATTTATCGGAAATATCGGCGACTGAACTAGATGATTATTACTTTAATGCACAAAAGAAACCAATTAAAGTACAAAAACGCCAGAAAACGCATCATAGACAGAAGAAAAGAAAATTAGAACCAATTCTGCTTCCTGAAAAACCCAAGGAAGTTGTGAGAGAGTATAAGAAAAAGACCCATCATGTCAAGAAGAAGATACCACCTAAAGTTGTAAGTGAATCTAGTGAAGAATCTGATGATGAGTACAGAGCTAGTCGAAGAAAACTAGCCGATGCTGTTGTAGTCAATAAAGATGCAAAAACTTCTTTAAGTGAAAGGCTTCAGCAAATGCTTTGTGGAGTCAACCCCGAACCAAGAGCCATAGTTACTGATACGAAAAATAATGACATTAGCAGTGTATTAGAAAATGCTGAATCACCACTGTCCTCAATGAATACTGATGATCATACAACGTTACATTCTGAAGATACAAAGGACACAGAAAATAAAACAGACAAATCTGTAATAGACTTATGTTCTGATGAAGATAGTAAGTCAATGTCAATTGATTGTTCAAGAACTGTAGATTCAGTTATTACAGAGGTTGAAACTCAAGCTAAGTTGCGGAAGGATTCTAATTCAGGTAAAGAATCTGAAGAAGATCTAGAACTGCTTAGACAACATGCTCTCAAAACTAAAATTACTAAAACAAGTGCAGTTCTAAACGATGTTCAAATTGAAAACAAACTACTGTCTGATGATGAAGACAGTGATACAGCAGAGTTAAGATTGATCTGTCTTAAGTCTGCTTTGCTTAAGAAGGCTATTGAAAGAAAGCAGAAACAAAAGTTAAAGAAAAGACTTTCGCAGTCTTCTCACCTTGGAGACAATCTTATAAGCGATAATAACACTGATATAGAATCAGTTGATATGGATATTGGATCAGATTCTGAAGAAAAGACTAAAGAAAACCCAGACGGTTGTGCCAAAGTCAATATTGTAGATGAACAAAGTAAACCAAATCTAAATCCTGCATTATTTGAAAACATTCCTTTACCTAGTCCACTTCCAGTAGTAGATGAACTAGAAGATGATGAAGATTTATTACGAGCTAAGTTACTTACTTCTTTAAGTAAAAATTTACCTAATTTGGTAAGTCCCAATGTAATTGAGCCCATAGAAAGCATCAGAGATACAAGACCAATTTCTCTAAAACCACCTCAAGTAAAACCTGTTGTAGCTGCTGTTGTACCAAAAGAAAAGAGGTTCATTATAACTGTTGGCGCATCAGATTCAGAAGGAGAAGATGAAGCTACTAAGAATTTAACAAAGATGCATATGAAATTGGCAGAGCAAGCTGACTTCCAGCAGAGATTAGATATGTTCTTGAAGAGTACGAGAATGGAAGTGGAGAAAACAACACAAGTTCCTGATGTTACACAGCAATCTGTTCCACCGAAGAAAAACGAAAAGTTCGTTGCTAAGGTCTGCAATTATTCACTCTCGTTATTCCGTTTAATGTGTTCTTTATTTTCAGCTATTTCAAGTTTCATAATTCTTTTAGGCTGTAACCCACTTGCCAAAATCAGAACAAATCGAGTATAGGAATCTCGTGAAAAGAATGGCAGAATTAGAAAAGATAAAACAAGCTAGGCAAGCTCCTGTTAGTTTAAGTCACAAAGTTCCTATACAAGTAAAAGATACACTAAAACCGAGAAATGTAGCAACTGATTCCTCTAAACTATCTGCCATAAATGATTTGGAAGAAAAAATAAAAGCATCAAGGTATTTACGAAGTTCTTTATTTTTAATGTTGTTATATTTTAGTGTTTTCTGATTTTCACGTGCTACTTTCTTTTTTTTATAGAAAACACATCGCTGAAGAGTCAGCCAAGATTTTAAAGTTGAAGGAAGAGGGAATAAAATTATCCCAAAAATACAAAATTGTCGCTACAGAACTTCGCAACATCAAAACCGCTATCGCACTGAACAAGAAGCAGACGAGATCTGTTCAAACTTGTTTAACAAAAATTAGGTTACACCATCAAATGTTATTGAAAAGGTATTTTTCTTATTTGTTATTTAGTAAAATCAACATTATGGTCTAGATTTTAATTGCTTCTATTTCTTGTTAATAGACTAGTTACTTCATTTCATTGGGTTTCTATATTTCATTTATTTTTATCGTCTTTCAAACCTGGTTGTTCTTCTTTTATAACTCCTTTTTTCAGCTCAACGACTTCTGTACATTCCAAAATTAATGGCGGTCTGCCATATCATAACGTAGCTACGAAATTACAAAAAGAAAATAATCCAGCAAGCGAAGAGAACAAAACGCACATAGTAAACAATAAACTCGTTAGAGTAGTAGACAATAACTTGTCAAAAGAAGAACCGAAGCATGTAGTAGTACAAAAACCTGTAAAAGATAACAGTTTGCGGAAAGAGGAACCAAAGATTAATAAAGTTATTGCAATTGAGAAAGTTCCAGATAAAAAAGAACAAAATCGAGAATGTGTAGTTAATAAAGTAGTAAAAGAAGCTCATACGCCCGAAGAACCCAAAAAACTTGTAGCAAACAATACTGCAAGAGTTGTAAAACCTCCGCCTTTAGTGATTGTTCATCCAAAATTGTCCGTACGACTGGATGTCACTAGTAATAAAAAAGTTGTTAAAGTGGGAGAGGATACAAATGATAATAATGCGGAACATAAAGATAGGAATGAAAATTTATTGGAAAATAGGCTGGTCGTCCATCCAGTTGCGGAAGGTGGAGGGAATAGCGAGAAGTCGGCGCTGGATCGCAGAAGACACGGGAGCTATGACTACAGATCACCTTTAGACGCTTTTGGAATTACAACGTAAGTGATACTATTTTGAGACTTCTAATTTTACATCCTTTCGAACATCTTTTACGATTCTGTAGATACTGGTTTTACAAAATTTTCCTTTATTTTTATTGCCACTCTTGGATGCTCTGAGTGACCTTGGCGAAAACTTGATTTCCCTAGTAATAAATTACTCTCGAATCTTATCTTTGCACCTGTATCGCTAACGGGGAAAATTATTTATTATTTAAATGCCTACTATTTTGTAGCCTTATTTTATCGATATTATAATTGTAAATACCCATTTCAAGGTTTTTTGATTGCGTCAATAAGCGCTAAGTTTAATTTGTTTTGCTTATTTTATGGCTATGTTTTATGTGATCGAACTAGATTATTTTTGAACTAATAACAAAAATCTTTCATTGAAACTTGAATTATGTTTGGCAATAAGTTTTTAATTCCACACAACGATTTATTATCAATATTTTTTAAACAATGGCGTATTACTTGCGCAAAGGAAATATCGTTTCATGACACATTGGATGGACATTAGGTCATGTAATGGTTTCCTATCCGAAATGGATCATGAATAAATATTGTTAAATGTTTTATTACTGCCTCGTTGGCCGAGTGGTCGCAAGTGCGATTGCCGGGCAAAGGGTCTCGGGTTCGATTCCCGGGTCGGGCAAAGTATTACTGGTTTTTTTTTAATTCTCAGTAGTAGCACGGAGTCTGGAATTGTGCCCGGTATATGGCAATAGGCTCACCCACTATTACATGGGACTCATAACATAAATTGTGAAAAGTGGGTGTTACATTGTACAGTGGCATAATGTGCACCTCTGCCTACCCCTTCGGGGATAAAAGGCGTGATGTTATGTTATGTTTTATTAATTTATTTGTAATAGACCCCATTATCTGTAATAGATCAGTGACAAAATTCTACACAGATAAATATAACCACATATAACTAATTTAATATTACCATAACCAGTTAATTGTTTAATAACCTTGTAATTTCCAGTTGGCAGGGCGACCCGAACAAGATCCTTTGTCCTTTCGAGGTGGGCGGCGACTGCAAGGATCCTGACTGCATATACCAACACACCCCCTCCCGGTCCACCTGACATTACACCCACACACGCACACGCTCCCATCCTACACGTACTTACCCTTCTGGATATCCAATCCTATCTTACTTGTCCGAACGAAGGCAAAGGAATCTTCAGCGATGTGTAAAGTATACATCTCTTATAGCTAACCTAATCATAACTAGCTTTGTTTTGTTGAGTTTCCAATCGATTTTAAAATCTCAAATTATTTGATATTTATGTCCAAAGCCATGCATGCCGTAAGTCTAGTCATACTCATATCGAATATGTATTTTCTATTATGTTGGTTATCGTATCAGCAAGTATTTGCGTTTCTATCAATATGTTGAATCAGTGTTATCATTGTTTCTGAGTTGCGTTTACGTAATGCTTCAGTGTCAAGTGCGCAGCCGTACCATGTAGTTACATCTACCTCATGCTTATTTACACTCACAAAATCTTTAAACCCATCCTTAGATCTTATGTTATTCTCCTTTTTGACTTCAAGAAGTTGAATTCGTTTTTTTGACATAATTTTTTTGATCTACATTTTTGTTTTTATCTTTTTTCAAGTCACTACGTTTTAGTAGGTACCTTTTTCTATTTAATGTCAATTGTGAAGTTATTAATTTGGTCCTATCTCCGCATGTCTGCCCCGCTGTACTGAGGTGATGGCGTTGTTAGAATACGTTTTGTTCCATCGACTCGCATTTAATATTGTGTACTGCAATTTTAGTTGGCGACTGAGACTGAACGCGATCCTGCTTCTCGCCGACAAAGGTGGTAAGTTTCGAGTAACTTTATAATAGTGCATTTGTAGTGCTCTGGACTCATTTTACGACACACTACGGGACTCCGAAGCTCTGGTAAAGTGTTTTGTGTTACGTAAAATATATCGACTTTATTATAATATTATTTTTTACTACATATTATTGATTTTAAAAACATTGTACACATGTAAAAAGTTATAAAATAAACAATACCTGGAAATATTGTACATTTGATTTTTATTTCTACAAGTAAAACCACATTTAATCTTACAAATAGACATTTTATTCAGACATTGTAAAGAAAATAAAAAGTAATATACCTCTTCACACTGATACATACACTTAGATAAAATATGTACGTATATTTTTGGAATAAAATTCGATATAATTCATAAAACCCTTGAACAGACAGAAGTCACTCTACTTGAATGACTATGTACTAATAAGTATTTATTTATATATCTAGTTATGTGACAGAATAACTGTGGGCACACGTGTTAGACAGTACAGGAGATAGAAATAGTCGTATTCGTGTAGGTAAACCGTCTATGGGACAATATTAAAATTTCTTTTTCAAAAATTAACGTTCTCATATAAAATTTTCTATAAATTCATAAGATTTTTTTGTTTGGTGTTCCAAAAGCTCAATATAATTTTTCACCTCGAATATAATAAGGTCTGTTATATTTTTGTAAAGTTTAACAAGATAAATAAATAATATTAAATATTATTTTTGATATAAGTATATGAGGTGGAAGTTGGAGCCCACAGTTGAGACTGGACAGTTAGGAAGGCAGGGAGTGTAATACAAGTATAAGTCTTGATAAAGGGATTATTACACGTCATCACCATCTCTTTCCTTCGCTCACATGACTTCTCGCCAGTTTACCAAAGAGCGATAAAGCTAACAGAAGTATCCTACGTTCAGTGCTCCGTGTAGCGAAACTTCATATCAATAACATTTTATATCAATGACTATAGTGACATAACTATTGCGATATTCCAAACACGAACTTGTGAAGCTACAATCTATTGAATATCAGACACATTTGCTCTAAACAGTGATAAAATTTGATAACGACAACATTTTATATATTGTTCCTTTGAGCAAACTTAGGCTCTGCGGTGAAGTATTTAAGTAGTATAGTGTAAAGTTAATGTATAGATTAGGCATGCTGTTACAAGGAAATCTCTACAACAGTTGATACAGACAAGTTACACAGTAAATGGTACAGCAGTGACGTCAAACAGCTAAAAGGGGAGGGGCGATCTTATGATCTGTACCCACGGAATAATTGTAAGACGAGCCTCAGATCAGAGTTTGGGTCTTGTCTGTGAAAATAAAACAAGTCTGAATCCCACAAAGCACACGGCAGACTAAGTTTTGCATACCCAAATAATGTTTTATTTTCACTGACAAATGAATCAATAGCTCTCTAAAGTTACAAAATAGGTCCCGTCTTAGGAGGACGTCACAGCATTAACTAGACAACAGTGAACAGTATCTACAGAAGGATTAGTATTGCATCGGTCCGGGATAAACTAGACGAGTGAAGGAGAGTGCTTGGGAGTCTATCTGAGGGTGTGCCACATGGCAACGGCCTTGCGCGTCTCGTGCGCCATCTGTGCCCAGTGGCGGCCCTCCGCGGCGGGCTCGGCCGCGCCCACGCAGCACCAACCCACCACCAGGCCGCTGCCACCGCCGCTCACCACGCATACCTGACCCATCACAACCACGATCATGTTATTAGATTGCTATGCTAAAGTATTTAAGGTAAATGAAATGAAATGATATTTGTTACTGCAAATAGCTTACAAAGTAACACTTTTTAATACCTAAAAGGATTAGGTACCTACTAAGTATTTATTGGACGAGATAGGTGCCTTGCTACTAAGAAGCAAACTAGTATGCTGAAGCTAAATAAAACAGTAATAAAATTAGTATTTCCTCCTTTTTAAAAAATTGTCTGTATAGACAAATCGATAACAAATCCATGACTAAATTAGTTTTTTTTATTGCCGCTGCATCTCAGTTACTGATGAGATAAAACTGTGATGTAAGTAATCGGTTGCATATTTACCTCCAAATCAAAAATGTTGATAGTAAATCAAGTATTCATGTAACGAAAACCATAACCAGGTAGATACTATAAGTTCCCAGTCGCATGTCAATCGAATACAGCGATTTCTTGTATACATAATTCACCCACCTATCATGTTTGAAAGATTTTGCATTTTATCATATACTTAGACTTCAAAAACGAAAGGCACTCTGTTCGATAGATTAAGAAAAATAAAGTGATTTTCCCTTACCTCAATGGATGCCTCCTGAAGGTTAGCAGACGGCAGGCTGAATGACAAGGCCTCGTTCCACACAGGGTTGTTGATCTCTTTTCTGTTAGTCTTCTTCTTTTTCACTCGCTTCCCATTCACCAGCAAGTATACTTTTACATACACATCTGAAACAATGAAACGAATATTATTAGGTGGGTAGACAGGTCGCATAGGCTAAATCACTTGACGAAGGTCTTGCATTATGCGCTTTTTACGTTCCTTAAAGTGAAATCGGCTACCAACCTAAAGCATCCTTTCCCTCCTGGGGTGGCAACAGATTCCTAGCCTTCAACACGACGACAGTAAGTCGTTCAGCCGATGGTAGGTAAGAAAGAGACAACAGCAGCTCTTGCAGTTCCTCTGGTGGACGTCGCTCTCGGGACAGTTCGGCCCATACTTCGGCACCTCCCGCTACTTCGACACGGGAGAGAGGCACCTTCGCGGACCCCATCACCTCGTTGCGAGAGAATCTGAAATAACAGAAAAGTATTATTAAAATTTCACAACTTAATATAGGTAATATTTCAAACCTAAACTTTTTGATGGAATTAGTTGCATCGCCTTCTTGGTCAATACAAATAGTAATCTCGTGCATCATCCGAAAGTTCAAATGGTCGAAGCACCAAAATCAGCTTCACGTTTTTTAAAACCGGAGTGATAAGCAGAGGTGTAAGTTTCGACTTTAATAACCAACGAATTAGACACTTTTTTTACTAGGCTCTTTGAACGTAAAGGTTTTTTTTTAATATTTGATGGGACGACGTTTGACCACTATCTCGCCTGGTGGTAAGCGATGATGCGGTCTACGATGAAGCACGTCGCGGCCCATAACCAACCTATTCACTTGGGCCTTGAAGACTCCCAGGTTATACCCTTCAGGAAATACAGACTCTGGCAAAGAATTCCACTCTTTAGCAGTACGCACAAGGAAGCTTGAAGCGAAGCGCTTCGTGCTTGTAGGCGGAACATCTACCATGAATAGGTGCAAACGTGAATGCATACCAAATTATAATCTCACCTGTCATAATCAAAGACTTGCAGTAGCAATGTCTTGTCAGATAACTCGTCGTGCGACACAGGGAACTTAAAGTGTTGGTCAAAGAATGGGTTGGCTTCGTTCCGATGTACCGGAGTCTGGCGGACTCGGGTGTCCACTTCGGGGAGTAAGGTGACCCGCACGTAAGGGTCATTGAATCCCCCAGCCTCGTAGCCCGCCAAATCATGAGCTGAAATCAGAAGTTCTTTATGTTTAGTTCTATTCTTGTACATAGGTAGGTATGCTAAAACGCTCTTATTTATTGAAGATTCAAAGATACTAACAGGTAGGTGAAGTAGGTGGTGTGCGAACCTAATTGCATAGAACTGTGAGCGAACTAAGTTTCGAATTGTTAAGTAGGTAGTTTGTAAGTGAGAATTCTGGACCGAAAACCTAACTAGGTACTTTATCTTTATAGGAAGAGACTATATAACCTCTAGATATTTCACTAAATTCGAATTTAATAGGTACCTAATCAAGAAAACAGCGATTAGTGAAGTGTAGCGATTTCGTAGCAAACTGCTACGAGAATGCTACGAGTAAATGCCACAAAATATTTAAAAGGCTGTTTTTTACAATCGTACATTTAATTAAACAAGTTTATTTTTAAACCTTATCTACATTAGTGTGTGATATGGATCCATTGTGGAGTACGACTGTTACTGACCTTCACGACTTATAAATAGGCACACTAATGATATTTTCTATTTGTTTATTTTGGTGACATGACACGCTATTATGGGCAAGGTTGTTTGATGAACGTGACCATAAGCCGAAATATACATACATACATACACATACTTAAGTACAGCTAGCACCTGAAGGTACTTACATACGTAAATCTGTATTTTTAGTTGGTACACAATTTGAACCTAATCAGTTTGACATAAAGTTGAAAATATATTGCTGCATATGGTAGTTGTATGTGATGGTATCTATACTACATACACTATACACATTCGATGAAAAATTAAATTAACCCTTTATAAGACACAAAACAATAATAGATACCACCTACCACCCACCTAAAAGCACCTACTAACACCACGATCTGTGAGTGTTCTACATTCATCAAGGAAGTCTTTGATTAGTTATTGTTATAGGTAGGGACTAATAAAGGTAGGTAGTTCTGTTTAAGTTCCTATTCTATTTCCCATGAAGTTGTAGAAATTGTACCTATATGTCTGACTTTTTATGCAACAAAAACGTAGTTATCATTTTGTTCTAGAACCGAGTTATACTCCTAAAATTACAGATTGCTATTGGCTAGCTAGAGAAATTGCTTTCCTTTAGGGCTTTAAGTACTTATTTGTTTAAGAATGGAAAAGAAAAACTGACTGCCTCGTTGGCCGAGTGGTCGCAAGTGCGACTGCCGGGGTCAAGGGGTCTCGGGTTCGATTCCCGGGTCAGGCAAAGTATTACTGGGTTTTTAAAACTCTCATTAGTAGCACGGAGTCTGGAAATGTGCCCGGTATATGACAATAGACTCACTCCCTATTACATGGGACTTATACTGTAAATAGTGAAAAGTGGGTGTTAAATTGTATAGTGGCATTAAGTGCCGTAATGTGCACCTCTGCCTACCCCTTCGGGAAAAAAAGTGATGTTATGTTATATGAAAAAGAAAAAGAAAATGAAGATCGCCTTACCTTCAATAAGATGCACTTCCAGATCAGATCTATCGAAGTCGTACTTCAGGCGTAAGTGGATCCTGCCGAGGGATGGCCCGGCTCCTTCCAGTTCTATCACAAGGGGTGCCTCTCGCTTGGTGTACAGGTCTGGCTGCAGGGCTCCCAGCGAGCTGATGGCTGCACTAGCTCCAGGACTCAGTGGTCCTACTCCACTGCTGCTTTCTACTAAAGAGTTGCTGCGGTCTATCCGCCTGGAAAGATTGGGGTATAAATCTAAAACATGGTTTCTTTTTATCATAATTGGCCAAAGATGACTACAATGGGACATGGGATATGGGAGTCATAATATTGAAAGATGAAAAGTGGGTTTCGCATTGTATACAGCACAGTGCTTACCTACCTTTTCGGGGAAAGGTGTAACGTTATAAAACAAAATCTCTTTCATTTCAAAATGCTTTCTGTACGCAGTAAAATGTAAATTTCGAGAACCCATTTACAATACCATCAGTTAAAACAAAACAAAAAATAACCTATAAAAGTAAAATCCCCGCCAATGTCGGTCTGTCTGCCTCAATTATCGTAGGAAATAATTAAAATGTACAGTCGCAAAATAAAACATCGTATTTACTAGGAAACGGACAGGCCGGTAATGGGGGGCGGGTATGCCAAAGTTAAGCGCCTTAACATCAACATGTGATTGTAGCGAGAGAATGTATAGTTTTGGGTACCTATTAGGCAAGTACACACTGTCTACTTACGTAATGTATGTACTGTACGTACGTGGTAAAAGAAAGAATGGTTGTTTACGTATCAAAGGAAATATTTATTCATTACATATCTATGTAGATAGATACATATCTATTTGTGTATAAAGACAAGAATTTGTGTTTTTTTGTTGGATGATAAGAGATTTTAAATAGGCCTAAATTTGCGTGAACACGTAAAACTGTTATGATAGAGAACTGCTTTTCCTTAACTGATTAAGCTACTGCTCGTCTAAAAAAATTTAATTGTAATCGTAGGAACTGGCGTTCTATAGTCTCTGCCTACCCACATCGGAGACAGGCGTGAGGTTAGTATGTATGTAGGTGAGTATGTATGTATGTATCAAAGACATCACGTTTTCCTGCAAAAATGTGAACGATTACGATGGTGTTTATCTATACTTATCTAGATGTAAAAGGTGACATGGATAAATCGTTAAGCAACTAGAAGCGGTTGCAATCTCAAAGTTAAGTCAATAAAAAAAAAACAGTCAGAAATATTTGGTTTAAAGCCATATAACAACAATAAAGGCAACATACCAATATAGGAACCTTACATAGTACCTTTATACCGTTCAATATACGTTCATATTTACGAACACAATCTATCCGAAACGCAGGTAACCAGGTCACGTCATTCAAAGCAGAAACAGCTCTGTACAGGAAAATACATCCCATCAATATTTTAACGGCACTAGCGAAAGATATTAATGAAATTAATTGTAGTATTATCACAGTAGGAGTGGTGTTAATGGATTTTATCCGCTTTATCATAAGCCCTTAAGGTTTACATTGCCGGGATTCATAGCTCATTGTGAGGGTACGGGCTGTATATCAAGATTAAGACGTGGGCATAGATTAAGGCGTACATTGTGTGAATTTGATAGAGTCATCACGACTTCTTTGTTACGGGTTTTCAGTATAGTATTGTGGTAATAATGAGGTAATGATGTGTTTTTGCATTTACTGATATTTTTCTGTGTTTTTTTTTTTAGTACGATATGCACAGGCATGTTTGTAGATACATGCTACATAAAAACTTAACGACAAACAAAACAAAAATTAAGTAGGTACTTAAGTATGTTAGCTATTTACTTAAGTCTTATTATATATTTTTCGCCTTCAAAAAACATAGTCATTTGTGAGACCGATGCCGTAGGTGTAAAAGGAAATTTATGTTGTTTAATCTGATCCCCATTATTTTTCCACTTAATACACTTGTGGAATATAACGAAAAACAAACATCCGCGCACTAACGAGAAATTCTCTCGAACTTTTCCAACGAGAGTGGAACGGGAAGAGATTTAACGAAATTCTATTTTTTATTCCTAGGTACTTTAGAATTGAAAGGTTTTTTATCTAAGTACTCCAAATTTGTTGAGTGTGTTATCTAGGTCAAATGACGTAATCTAGGATTTTAAAATTCTTGATAACATAACATAACATCACGCCTGTTATCCCCGAAAGGGTAGGCAGAGGTGCACACAGAAGTAACACCCACTTTTCACTATTTATGTTATGAGTCCCATGTAATAGGGGGTGAGCCTATTGCCATATACCGGGCACATTTCCAGACTCCGTGCTACTACTGAGGTTTTTACAAACCCAGTAATACTTTGCCCGACCCGGGAATCGAACCCGAGACCCCTTGCCCGACAGTCGCCCTTGCGACCACTTGGCCAATGAGGCAGTCAAAATTCTTGATATATTTTTGTAATTATCTCCTCAGCTTTTCTGTTCTTTCATAACAACTATTGGGATAATCCAACACGATTTGGGGGAAGCCCGACCTAGTACCAAGGTTTCAGATGTTTTCGGAGGCATAGAGATTAAATTGGTAACAATAACAAAAGTATAGATGAATAACGGTAAAACGAAAGTCGACAATTTAACCCGGTCCGCACAAACTAATAGATAGATGTCATTATGTCATTATCAGGTAGGACTTGTAGAGATAATTGCTTTAAGAAAATCAAATAAATACTTAGACAGTAATTTGCTAACCTGTAAGTACCTAATACTACTCCTTGTTATCTTACACATTGTCTTTTTGTTGTCTTTTTTATATTTTTTTTGTTGGTGGGGGGAACCTTCAAAGTCAAAGTCAAAGTCAAGGTCAAAAATCATTTATTTCAATTAGACCAGGATGGTACTTTTGAACGTCAAACAACAAAAAATTATAAGTGAAGTTAGTTGCTCATTCCAAGGCGTAGATTCCTATGGAGAAGAACGAGCAAGAAACTCCATAGGTTACTCTTTTTCAATCAGGTTTACAATACAATTCTCTAGTTACATAGTTTTATTGATTCGATTATGTGAGAACAATGCAACACCTAAATCCAGTCAGAAAGACTGTTACTTAACCTAATATTTAGTTTACAGTACTTAGAATAAAACCTATTTACTGCCTCATTGGCCGAGTGGTCGCAAGTGCGACTGCCGGGCAAGGGGTCTCGGGTTCGATTCCCGGGTCGCGCAAAGAATTACGGGGTTTTTAAAAATCTCAGTAGTAGCACGGAGTCTGGAAAAATGTCTCCAGTATATGGTAATAGGCTCACCCCCTATTACATGGGACTCATAACATAAATAGTAAAAAGTGGGTGTTACATTGTACAGTGGCATTAAGTGCCGAAATGTGCACCTCTGCCTACCCCTTCGGGGATAAAAAAGCGTGATGTTTTGTTAATAAAACCTATTTACCCAATATATGTAGGTGAAACCATTTACCAAACTAGTTCAATGAAAATCCTGACATTTACGTTTCTATCTAATTGTGATCAATACTGTTTGTAGTTCCATGTATTCACAAGGATATTAGTAGAGGTATTACTCATAACAATAAGCTTTTGTTTTATTATTTTATCGATTATAGAATCAACTGTGCGTTTCAGAAATTATTTAGTTCTATCGTTGATGTTTATTTATTAATGTTAATTGATGGTCGCTCAGTGGTCGAAATTAAACTGTACCTTGTAACTGTTCTACTCCGGAGCTGAGACCATCCTAACGGGTTACCGGGTCTCTAGCTCAAAGTAGAAGTAGGAGTTTTTAGTCAGTAAAAGTCTGACAATCTCTCTCGCCTCAGGGCGGAAGAACTCATTAGATTATTTTCCCTCCTCATAAAAAGGCATCTAAGTGGAAACTATCGTTTTTTCTTTTAATATTTTCTGTTTCATTTCGTTGCGGGAACCAAGACAGTTATTCATGTCCCTGGGGCGCACCGGACTTCAGTGTGCCAGTGTTTTCATGGTTGCGCCATGGTACCTACCGCTCTGGACTATGGTCTTCCGTTTTTATAAAATAAACCGGTAAACGAGCAGATAGATCACTTGATGGTAAGCAATCAGCGTCCCCCATGAACACCCGGAACACCAGTGGCGGTACCAAGTGCGTTACCAGCCTTTTGGGGTTTAGGAATTTGAGGATTGTTGGGGATTCAGGGATTGGGGAGGGGGGCGGTAATTGGGCCTCTTCTAGATAAAAGGGTATGTTGTAATCTCCACGCTAGACAAACGAGTTGGAGATCTCATTTTAAAAGATCCATGTATTTCAGAAAGCGATGTAGCCTATCTCCATCAAATACAAGAAAAGAGTTGTATGGGGTGACGAGTCTCATAAATCAATCACATTTAGGTAAATTCAATCTATTATATTATGTTTATTAATATTTGAAGAAATAATTCTATGTATAGAGTAACGTGAACGTTAAATTACTATTGCGATTGTATTTACTGATCAAACGCTTTAGATACGTCAATGTAACGATGTGTTTACTTGATTGGATTTATTCAATTAATATCTAGTCATCCATGCCATAAGTAAAATGAACTGATAGTCATTTGACGTTGATTGTGTCTTGATTACCTTGTCTAGTTGGTACTAAAGATAATAGGGTAGATGACTATTTTTTATCTTAATGTCCGTCTGGTAAATTACTTATTTAAAAACATTAGACACGTATTTTTTATTTTCTTACGACAAAGAATAGTTTTTTTTATGGCATAAGCCGGTAAACGAGCCGACGGATCACCTGATGGTAAGCAATCGGCGTCGCCCATGGACACCTAGAATGCGTTACCGGCTGTTTGGGGGTTAGCAGTTTGAGGATCGTTGGGGATTCAGAGATTGGGGAGATTGAGGATGGGGAGAGTAATTAGGCCTCCGGTAACGAAGGTAACAAAGGTGTAACAAGAAGATACTGGTACAACTTTTAAAGTATTTTGTCTATGTACCCAACCAGTTTTTATCATAATATAACATCACGCCTTTTATCCCCGAAGGGGTAGGCAGTGTCGCACACAGAAGTAACACCCACTTTCACTATTTATGTTATGAGTCCCATGTAATAGGGGTTGAGCGTATTGCCATATACCGGGCACATTTCCAGACTCCGTGCTACTACTGAGAGATTAGCAATACCTGCAAATAAAATCCATTTTAAGCTACACTGCCATTTTACAACTACTAACAGTGGACTATCATAGGCA